AGTCAAAATCAAGTAAACTCCACCTACTATTCTTTAAAATAACGTGACTATGACCATTCGTTAGGTCACGTGAAGGAGTTCGGCAACTAATATATATTTTAAGTTAAACTTTCATTTTGATCTCTCAACTATTGTACGAACCTCTAACTTAATCCCTTAATTCAAGAAATCTTTAATTTGATCCATACTGTTTATCATTTTTATCCCAATTTAGTCCCTACGTTAAAAATCCAATGACGTGTCCCATTAATTAATTGAAACATGATGACGTGTGAAAATAACGTGCCACATCAGATTCACGTATAAAAAAAAATTAATATGTCAAAAAAAATTTTAAATTTTTTTTTTTCTTTCTTTCTTCTCTTTCATTTTCTTTTCCCCTTGGAACCCAACACTTATTGGGTTCTTCCGAACCCAAGGCTTGGGTTCGAAAGAATCCAAGACACCGCCTAGGTTCGAATGAACCCAAGATGCCTGGGTTCGAAAGAATCCAGGACACCGCCTGGGTTCGAACGAACCTAGGAAGACGCTTGGCTTCTTGGGTTCGAACGAACCCAAGAGCAAAAATTTTTTTTAAAAAAAAAGAGAATTTTTTTTTTTTTTTTTTGTGGATCTTGTTGTTTTATGATGATGAAGGAATTGATTGATGAAGAAGGCTAGGCAAGATGAGGAACTGGGAACTGGGAATGGGAAGAAAAAGGGAGAAGAGTTCAAGCTTTGTAGAAGGTGGGGTCCACTCTTTTTTTTTTTTTATTTTGGATCCGAACCATACTGCCATGTCATCTTTTTTTATAGGTGTGCATATGAGGTGTCATTCTATTTTGACACATCATCATGCTTTAGTTAATTAACAGGACATGTCATTGGATTTTTAACGGAGGGGCTAAATTGGGGTAAAAATAGTAAATAGTAAGGACCAAATCAGGGATTTTTTGAGTTGAGGGTCCATACAATAATTGAGGGACCAAAATAGGGGTTTAACCTATATTTTAATTTTAGCGAAAAA